AAAGTTTTCATGTTACTGATCTCTTGAGACGCCGAAGTGTGGACTGTTATATAACATCATTCATATTCTCCACATTCAACTATATTACGATTTGTTGAACTACTGCTTTCAGCTGAATTGCTATGCTATGCGTGTGGGGTGAAAGCAAGTGATATACTAATATAATATTTTCACTGCGATTACCTTACCTATTATTATTACCTTTTGCCACCGAAATCATTGAAATCGGTTGAGTTTCGCTAAAGTTATGGCAGATTTGTCGGCGTACTGCTTACCCGCCATTCCCTGGCGGTGCGTATGCGCCTTTGAGGTATGCAACAGAAATTTGTTTATTTTTGTGTCGCGACTTGCTGACCGTTTATGGTTGCTTGGTAGAATTTTATGTTTGTGAGTTTAGCCAAACCGCGAGGAAACGTGCATATGACCAGAAGCGAACTTTTCGTAATTTTGCGTAATTTTATTTGGTGTCAAATTAAAGGGATTTGAGAGGACTTTCGAAAATTTAATAATTTAATCTAAATAAAATATGAAAAATTGAATGGAAAAACGAGCATAAATTCTAAAAATAAAATTTGTGCAAACTCACTTTTGTTTAGAATAATTAAATAAAAATATATTTTCATTTTGTTTTCAATAATATTTCTTTTGACATATCTATATCCAAAGACTAGTTTTAATAAAAATACATTTCTGCAATAAGCGAGTTAATTTGTGCTTTTGACATTTTGTATGAGTTCTTCAAAAGAGTATCAATTAAAATTAAATACAGGAGATGCATCTGCAACACTAGTAAAATGGGCTAACGAAGATGATGCTTCAAGCGAAGACATACAAAAATACCTAAAAGTTGTTCGTTCGCGTGTGGCAATGTTCGTAGCATTCAACGAATAATGAAAACTTCTAAGCGCATGCGTGAAAGCTCGTTCTGCTTGCATGACTGTACGACTTCGCCCGCCTAATAAATACTTATCCATGTTAGGCAAATCGTGTACTGCGAAAAGACGGCAAATCGAATTGTCTGCGATTAAGAAATTAATAAATAAAATTAAAATATTTAAGTATTGTTTATGAATAGAAGGGACCGGTGCTAGTCTCAAAATTTTGTACCTGATCCAGATATTCGTTCCACTTAAATGCGAAAATTGAAATTTTGAACCTTCATACGAATAGCATAGCTTGTGACGACTCCACAGAAATTTTGCAAGCTTAAGCCAAAAAATCGGAATTTCTACCAGGCACATATAGCCGACTAGTAGAAATATTGAAGATCAATTTCATAGAATAATTTCTCTATTTATGGACCGATCATGGTTACGGACTCCATCGAAAGGGGACACTTGGTGCAAGTATCCAATCATTTTGGACCTGATGCGGGTATTTTTTCGTTTGTTTATTGTTCTCTAGAAGTAGCTTATGAACAGTTTTCCAATTAAAATGCAGGGATTGCTTGCTTTCAAAACAACTTTTTATTTTATTGTGTTGCTAGGCATACAAAATTCTTATTATTAGTACATTTAAGTCATTGTAGCCAAAAGATATATGGAATGTTATTCAAATTCAATAAGAATACAATTCATTATGGCGCAACTGTTTTAATTATTCAGATTTCGCCATTCAGTTGTTGAAGCAACTTACTTCCTTATATGAAGTATATATATTCCAAACTTTTAGTAGACAGTTCGTCATTGGACATTGAATCCATAAGAGAAAATATGCAGAATATTAAATTTTTCTTCGCTCTACTGTGCTTAATTGGGATAACTGCAGTTATAGGTAAAATTATTATTTATGACAAGTATAATAATATTACATTTATTT